ACTGCTTTAAAGAAGCTGGGACCAGCCGAGGCAGGCCTGAAAACCTGGGTAGCTGAACAACTGAGATTGAGACAGTGGTACGGGGACCCAGTAGAGCAGCTGAGAGCAGACCCTGCTGGAAGGCTCAGTGCAATGGCGACCTCTGTTCTCAGGGAAGCAGCTAGAAACAGGCAGTCCCCCAAACCAAGGGTTTCTTCCAAGGATCTAATTCAGGAGCTTTTGGTAGGAGGGTGGCCACTGTTGCCAGCCATGAGATCTGGCATTGCCTATAGTGAGACTGCAACATTTCTTGGTTATGGCAGTGTCCATGGTCCTGGACCTCCATTCCAGGCCTAATGGCTGCCATTCACAAAGGTGGGATCACAGTGCCCTCTAGTGGTCACAGAGTGTCAGCCTCCCCTCCACAGCCATAAATAGAATAACACCTCTCCTCTTTTTAAGGCCCAGACTGAATCTCCTTCAGTTGCCCATCCTTTACACAAGTAATCCCACCAAGAAAATGAGGGCTAGAGGGAGGAAGAGATGAAAAGATGAAAGAAAAACATAACATTTCCTCTTAATTTCAGAAAAGATTATTAGATAACATGGTAAATTTTATCGTTTTAAAATCTGTTGATAAAAGTTAAAACATAGCTATAATGCTGCTGAGAGAAGCAGTAATGGCCATAATAAGCAAGGTGGGCAAGCACAAGGGGATACTGAGTGGCCAGAGGGAACACAAGTGGGAAGACCAGAACCAGGAGCAGAAAGAGCCTAGATTTGGAGGAAGATCTTAGCTCCAGTGTCTGTCACTTACTAGTTGTAAGAACATGGGTAAGTTTTATTTTGCTTCACTGAGCCTGTTTCCACATAAAAGTAGATCCCTGGGGTTGTTACCCTCTGAGAGCCAGCCAAGCACAGTGGTCAAGAGCAGACTCTGGAGCTAGTCCACCCTGGTGGACTCCCAGCATCACCACCCACTCATTTCCTGGCCTTGGCAAGCTATTTCACTTCTCTATGCCTCACTGTCTGGAGGGATGTTATCAGTGCCTCGTAGGTCTGTGGTTTCAGTGAGTGAGTGCATGTTAAGTGCTTGGAAGAGCAGCTGGCACCTAGCAAGCGTTCAGTAAGAGCTGATTTACAATACCACACGTGACCTGTACCCATTGCCATCAAGTCTATTCCGACTCATAGAGATCCTGTTAGGACAGAGTAGAATTGCCCCATAGGGTTTCCAAGGCTGTAATCTCTACAGAAGCAGACTGCCACAACTTTTTCCCCTGGAGCGGCTGGTGGGTTTGAACTGCTAACCTTTTGGTTAGCAGCCAAGCACTTAACCACTGTGCCACCAGGGCTCCTTACACATGTAAAGTGCCTAGAATATAATTGTATGTTCATCTCCTTTCCTCTTCTTCTTGAACCTGGCTCTGGTCAAAATGCTGTGTCCCAAAAACCAGACTTACTGATCTGACAGAGACTATGGCCCTTCTGAACTGGAACTGAAGCCATTCCCGGAGACTACCTTTCAGCCAAACCATAGACAGGCCCATAAAATAAACAATAACACCCTAGAGGCACATGCTCCTTGGAACAATCAATTATACAAGATCAAAAGGGCAACATTTGCCCAAAAGCAAAGATGAGAACACAGGAAGGAGTAGAACATCAGGATGAAAGGAAACGAGGAAACTAGGACAGAAATGGGGAGAGTGCTGACACATTGTGGGGAATGAAAGCAATGTCATGGAACACTTTATGTACAAAACTATTGGATGGGACACTAATTTGCTCTGTAAACTTTCACCTAATGCACAGTAAAAAAAAATTTTGTAAAAACGCTTGTATCCCTATCACATGGGAACAGTTGAAAGGGTGCGGAGCAGGGAATTGCTTAATATGGCTTTTGTGGCCATGCCTGGTCTTGTTGACTCCCACAAATGATTGGGTGGCACTATGCAAATAAGGTGTTTTTGGCCAACCAGGGGGATTGGAAAGCCTACTAATAATGCAAATAAGATGTATGGAACCCTAACAAGGAGATTGGTCAGTTTTGCCATCCTACTAGGCTTAAAATGAGCCATCCCAGAGGCGGGAAGAGGTGACCTCACTACTATCAAGAAAGAACAGCCAGGAGAGGAGCACGTCCTTTGGACCCAGGGTCCCTATACTGAGAATCTCCTAGACCCAGACGACAGACAGAGCTGTAACACCAGAGATGGGGTAGTATAGTGGCAAGCATAGCAGAATCCAGCAGCAGAGAAACAGCAGCAGCAGAACAAGGAGACCAATGTGAGATGGCTGCAGTGGACTTCCTGGCCCACCAAGTGAGTTGGCTACAGTGCACATGCCAACCCATGGAGCAAGAGAGCTGAGTACCTTCAGGCAGAAGGCTTGCTGGTGGAGTGCCTCTGGGCACTTATCAGTGGAGCTAAAGAGCTTTGTAACACTTGCCCAAGCAGGGCAGAGGCCAGGCTGAGGGCTGAAAGCAGACAGAGGAGCCTGTCCTCAGGGGGCTGAGAAGGAGTCCTGGATGGCCAGGAGCTGAGAGAGCTGCCCTGCACTGAAGAAGGGAGACTTTGCCTACATACTTCTTGTCTTAGTTATCTAGTGCTGCTATAACAGAAATACCACAAGTGGATGGCTTTAACAAACAGAGATTTATTGTCTAATAGTCTGGGAGGCTAGAAGTTTGAATTCAGGGCGCCAGCTCCAGGGGAAGGCTTTCTTTCTGTCAGCTCTGGGGGAAGGTCCTTGTCATCAATCTGACCCCTGGTCTAGGAGCTTCTCAGCGCAAGGACCCCAAATCCAAAGGACACACTCTGCTCCTTGCTGTTCTTGCTTGGTGGTAATGAGGTCCCTCTCTCCCTGCTCACTTCTCTTTTCATCTCTTGAAAGATAAAAGGTGATGCAGGCCACACTCCAGGGAAACTCCCCTTACATCAGATCAGGGCTGTGACCTGAGTAAGGGTATTGCATCCCACCCTGATCCTCTTTAACATAACCTAAAGCCCTGGTGGCGCAATGGTTAAGAGCTCGGCTGCTAACCAAAAGGTTGGCAGTTCTGAAATCCACCAGCCGCTCCTTGGAAACCCTATGGAGCAGTTCTACTCTGTCCTGTCAGGTCACTATGAGTCGGAATCGACTTGACGGCAATGGGTTTGGTTTGGTTTTTGGAATCTTGCCTCATTAACCACAGGCAGAGATTAGAATTTACAACACAGGAAAATTACATCAAATCACAAAATAGAGGACAACCACACAATACTGTGAATCATGGCCTAGCCAAGTTGCTCCCCTTTCCTCCATGGCTCTCCTTTCCTCCATGGTCCTCCTTTGCTCCCCTTTCCTTCCTGGCTCTCCTTTCCTCCATGGTCCTCCTTTCCTTCCCTTTCCTCCCTGGCTCTCCTTTCCTCCATGGTCCTCCTTTGCTCCCCTTTCCTCCATGGCTCTCCTTTTCTCAACGGATCTTCTTTGCTCTCCTTTCCTCCATGGCCCCCCCTTCCTCCCTAGGCCTCCTTTCCACATAATCCTGAGTCCTTGCAACCCAGCTCCAGTCTTCTACTGATACATCTTGTTGGAGGAAGTGGGGCTGACTCCAACATCCCCTTGTAGGGACAGGAGGGCCCCCAGAGGTGAGGCCCAGGATTGCCCTCAGGAACCATGCGCATCCAGTCACCACTGGACACTTGCTTCCAATTGTAACTCCAAGGGCTAAATGCATGTTTTTGCTCAGTTTTCTTGTGACCAGCAGGCTCTGAGGCAGCTGTGGTCACAGAAGAGTTTTCAGTGTAGAGCCAACTGGCCAGGGAGAACTGCCAGCACGTTACACTGACATCAGTTAGTTGTGACCTTACTGGCACCAAACTCTTGAACAGCCTTAGGAGGAAGTGGAATACAAATGATTTTGAGATCAGAGCAGAGCCTATGGAAAAGCAGCACACCAACAGTTTATACAAAAACCTTTTATTTAGTGTATTTCTTCTCCCTATCCCTCTCCCCAATCTGGGACCCAGCCAGCTTCTAAGGCTTCCTGCTATCTGGTTCTTGAAATTAGGGCCTTGGGGACATGGTTGAGGGTTATGAGAGGTGGGAGTCTCCTCACCTTCAAGTTGTGGAAGTTGAAGGAACCTTTCTTGCCTGGTTGAAGCTACAGCAGCTTCCCAAGGTAGTCCCTCAAGTCGGAGGATCCACCCCCCCAACACACACACACTGGGTAGATGTAAGGAAGAATTAACGTGTCTCTCCTGTCACTGCTTCTATGCCACACCAGGTCCAGGCTCTCTCTGTATAGGGAGCCCAGCAGCAGAGGGTTGGGGTGAGGGACGGGGAGTGCTGCCGCTCTGGGTCCTTATCAGCAAACAGGAAACATGAGCATGTTGGCCTGGGTGAACTGAAATGGGGAAGGAGGGTGTAGGACAGGGGAGGATGAGTTACTGGCCTGGGGTAGGGCCAGCTGGGCACCTCCCAAGAGAGGTTACAACCCGCATGGGAGCAGACGCTCCCAGTCCTACAGCCATCTGGATGAGGAAGAAGAGAGCCCTGCCCCTCTTAGACAAAGGGCTAATGACACAATAAACCAACTTTTGGTCTGAGAGCGCCAGAAAGGGCCCCACTTGGCCCAGAAAAGGGCAGCTGGCCCCCATCTGCTGGACACAGGCCTGGCTACCTGCCTGGCCACCACAGCCCACTTGAGTGCTGTCACCCCTGCTTCCACCATTCCTGCCCCACCACAAGCTCGGCATGTTCCATGACCCGACCGGAGACAGAGCTCCAGCCAGTGGTGCAGAAATGAGGACCCTGAGTGCCAGGGCGCTGCCCTTGGTGAGTCCCAACTGTGGAGATGCAGCCCCTCAGGGCTCTTTCCCACAGTCCTGCTGCCTCGAGCCCCTCTCCCAGGAGGGCACTGGGCCCTCGGGTTCTCTGGAAGACCAGATCCTGAGGAAGCGCTCTCAGGGAGGAAGAAGTGCCTCGGAACAGCAACTGCTCCTCTTATCTCCTGTCCCAGATCCTGCTCTCCAGGCTCAGAAGTCCGAGTCTGCGTCCATGAGCTCTGCCTCCATCAGGTTGGTACGGGAGTGAATGGGCCCCAGACATTGCCGGCGGCCCTGAGCCCAAGCCATGGGGGCTGGGGCACTGGGCAGAAATGGGTCCTGGAGGGCACTGGGCTCTGGACAGAAGGGGTTGGAGACCAGGGTCCAGGCTCCCTGTCGGCAGGACTCCCCAGCTCCCCAGGCTCCGGCAGCCACCAGGCATTTCTGCCGGGGCAGCTGAGGCAGCCGAGGGACAGCACTGGAGGCAGGGCCCAGTGTGGGGCGGGGCAGCTCGGCGGGGGGCCCCAGTGGGCACACTTCTTTCTTCCTCTTCCTCCGCTTTTTCTTCTGGCCCAGGCGCTTCTCCAGCTCTGGGGAGATCTCGGCCTCCACCAGCCACAGGTTGGCTTGCTCTGCTGGCGGCACTGGCGGTGGCAGTGGGAGAACAGAACATGAGCTTGGGCCCCAGCTTTGTCCATGCCGCGCCATCTCCTCAGAACCCCTACTCTTTTAGCTCTAGGGCTTCTCCTTCCTCCTCCCCCTGTGAGAGCCCCCCTTCCTATAGAAACCCAAATCCTCATACCTGGAGTTGCCACAGGGGTGACAGACACGTCCTGGGGCAGTATGGCTCCTCTCCGAGCCACCATCTTGGTGACATGCTGGGCCCATGCAGAGGAGACGTCTGCAGAGGGCTCATTGAGGTCAAACGCCAAGCCCGCTGTGGGGATGGGGAGGAAAGGATAAGGACACTGACTGCACAGTCCCTCAGTGGCACCGCCTTTCTTTGGCACCATGGACCTCCTCCCACGACCCCTCCCACCCTACCACACACAGAAAGCTCACCCTGGTATCACAGTAATCTCGACCCGTTCTGAATCTGAAGAGAAGGGCCAGAAACCCAGTTCCCGAGACCCTGGCTTACTCTGCCCCAGGAGAGCAACCATAGAAGACGGGAGAAGAGGGTGAGAGAGGCGAGCCCTCTTGGAACCAAAGCACCAGGGTGGGAGGAGGGGGAAGGGGGTGTTACCGATGAGAAAGCCGTGAGCTACTGTTTACAGCAATGGAAAATTTGGCAGCGATTACTGGTGAGGGCTGCTGATTAATGTAATTGCTATCACTAAATTGGACACACGAAAAACACTGAATTGGCAAATGTTGTATATATTTTCACAATTGGGAAAAAAAAAAAAAAAAAGCACCAGCAAGCAGACCCAGGGAAAGAAAGTTAAGAAATACAGAGAAGGGAAAGGTGGCTGGGGGACAGGAGGGGACCTAGGAGCCGAGAAGGAGAGAAAGAGAGACAGTAGTGCCTTACTCCCCACAGCCTTCCATACAGCCCCATGTCCACAACAGCCTGGGTGGGTGGGGAGGGGGCAGAAGCTCACCCACAGGCCCATCGTGGGAGACAGTGTGCATGCTGAAGGAGAGCTCCTGGCCAGGGTTCTGCAGCAGCTCCCGCCGCTTGGAGAAGGCCTTGGCGATCATCTTGCTCTTCTTGATCCGTTTGGGCTCGTCATCACTCTGCCCTGTCAGCCTGAGAGGAGAGAGAGTGTCGGGAGGGGGAGTGGAGGAGCAACCACTGCCAGCAGTCCTAGGAAAGCAGTGACTCCACTCCCTCCAGGGAAGGAGGCCCCAGAGGGTCTCCAGTCCCTCAAGAATGCTGAGGGACAGAGGCCTTCTCTGCAAAGAAGTGGGCCTGGAATGCAGGGCTCCTGCGTGCCCGGCTCTCAAATCCTTTCACTCTTAGAAGATGCTGGCAGGGGGATCAGCACTTGGCTTCAGTCCGCCCAAGGAAGGAGGTGTCACCAGGGGGCAGTGGTGAGCCGCAGAGAAGGGCTTTAGGCAGCTCAGTTAACTCCCCAGGTGGTGCTGGGAGAAGCAGGACCAAACAAGGCCTAAAGATAGGGACGCTGTGGCTGGGAGAGTCAGGTGGGAGGTCAGAAGGGGCTGGCAGCTGACCCCACCTGCACCAGGTGCGCCTCCAGATAAGCAGCGTGGCCTTGGTCCAGACCCAGGTGCTCATGGCAATGCCAGTGCCAAACATGGCAAATAGGTTGATCTTCTCCACCAAGAGGCTCGGGCGGTTCTTGATCTCACAGTCTGGGATGGGCTTCTTGGTAGGCAGCCCGATGGTCACGTTGGCTTGGCATCTGTGGTGAGGGACAGCAGACAAACAAGGCTTTCTGGACCCTGTGGGTATGTACCCAGACAATCCAAAGACTTTCTAAAGAGTTGTGAAAGAGCAAAGCCCCACGTCACTGATTCTCAGCCCTGTCTGCTCATTGGTATCACCGGGGAACTTTTAGTAATTACTGATGCCTGGGCCCCATCCTACACAATTGAATCAGAATCTCTGGAGGAGGCACCCAGGCTTCACTATGTTTTAAAGCTTCGCAGGGGATTCAATGCACAGCCAAGGCTAAGAACCACTGCCCTACAGTCTGGGACCACTGAGAGCCTGAAGCAGTCAGGACGAGGAGGACCAGTGTCAATTTTAATGAGCATCTTAAATGCTCCAGGAGTCCCTGGGTGGTGCAAGTGGTTAAGCATTCAACTACTAACTGAAAGGTTGGTGATTCAAACCCACCCAGAGGTGCCTTGGAAGAAAGGCCTGGCAATCTGCTTCCGAAAGTTCACAGCCTTAAAAACCCTATAGAGCACAGTTCTACTCTGCACACACACATGGGGGTCGCCGTGAATTGGAATCGACCCGACAGCAACTGGTTTAAATGCTACCCATGGTAACAGCAGATGTTTGCTGCACTTCTTTTGGCCGTTCAGACGCCTTACTCTCTCAGACTCATCTTCTCTGTGACACAACAAAGCACAGTCAAAGCTAGCAAACACGACATGTTGTCAACTATGGTAGAGACGTAACTCCTCCCGTGCAAGGATCTACAATATGTAAATGAGCACATATGAAATTACAGACGGCAACTTCTGTGGCTCACAGAGAGTTGGCCAGGAAGCCAAAACATCAAATGGCTTCCTAACAGTTACAAATACAAGCCATGGGCATGCAGAGGGAAGGGTGGAGCTGAGCACAGACTTGAAGGCTGTTTGCCATGTCTGGCAAATTACAGGGCAAATGATGTCTTGGGCACCCAGAGCAAGACAGCCAGTTTAATCTGCTGTCTGAGGCAGGGGATCTGAATGATCCCTCTTGAACAGAGGAAGAGGGGCTCTCCCTTACAGCTGTGGCTCCAGGACCACCACTGCTGCCTCCGAGCCCCGGGCCCTCACTCACAGCACATAGTCCCGGAAGCTGCGCTCCCACTCCGCCTGGTTGAAGAAGTCGTAGAAATGGCAGCTGAAGGTGATGAGCACAAAGCCAAAGGCCAGGAAGCCAAAAATGCCTGTGGAGGCCAAAACAATTTCTCCAGAAGTGGACTTATAGAAAAGGCACTTCTTTCAAATTCAGCATGGGATAACTCCACGTCATTCATTCATTCACTCATTCATTCAGCAAATAAGCACTTACTATGTGCCAAGCAAGGGCCCAGTGGTGCAGTGGGTAAGTGCTCGGCTGCTAGCTGAAAGGTGAGTGGTTTGAACCCACCAGCCGCCCCATGGGAGAAAGCTGTGGCAGTCTGCTTCTGTAAAGATTACAACCTTGGAAACCCTATAGGGCACTTCTACTCTATCCTATAGGGTTGTTATGAGTCGGAATTGACTCTACGGCAATGGGTTTTAGGCATCTTTCTATCTTATCTGATTTAATCTTCACATCAATTTTATCAGGTAGGTATTATTATCTTCGTTTTACAGATGAAACAGCAACAAGAACATGCCACGCAAGGAGTCCCCCAGTGGTGCAAATGATTGAGCACTGGGCTACTAACTGGAAGACTGGTGGTTTGAATCCACCCAGAAGTGCCTCAGAAGAAAGGCCTGGCTTGCCACTTTTGAAAGATTGCAGCCATTGAAAACCCTATGGACCACCGTTCTACTCCGAAACACATGGGGCTGCTATAAGTCGGAACTGATGGGCAGTGGGTTTGGTTTGGTTTGGTGTGCCAAGTAATGTGCTCAGTGTAGGATGGTGTACCATCAATGGGCTCATCTTCTGGTATCCGGAAGCTTTATTTTTATTTTTTATTGAGTTTTTGGTGAAAGTTTACATAGTAAGTTAGGTTCTCATTTGACAATTTCCACGCAAATTGTTCACTGACATTAGTTACATTTATCACAATACGTTCACATTCTCTTTGTGTCTATACCTGTCCGTATGTGCTCAAACACTTACTTTGGTTATGCTGTACTCACAAATCCACGTTCGGTGCCGCTTTTCCCATCAGCAAAGATAACAAGTCTCTACGATCCAAAGCGTCCTCCCCCACCCCAACCATAACCACCAATGAATATTGGTCTCTCTATATTTATCTGTTATTGGTCTCTCTATATTTATCTGTTCTTGTTTTTTTATAAAAGAGGGATCATACAATATTTGCCTTCATATGCTTGACTTATTTCACTTAGCATTATGCCCTCCAGGTCCATCCATGTTAAGTTTGGCAGACTCATCATTGTTCTTTACAGTTGTGTAGTATTCCATTGTATGTATGTGCCACAATTTGCTTATCCATTCATCTGCTGATGGCGACTTCAGTTGTTTCTAAGGAGCCCTGGTGGCGCAGTGGTTAAGCACTTGGCTGCTAACCTGAAGGTCAGCAGTTGGAACCCACTAGCTGCTCTTTGGGAGAAAGATGTGGCTGTCTGCTTCCATAAAGATTATAGCCTTGGAAACCCTATGGGCAGTTCTACTCTGTCCTACAGGGTCACTATGAGTTGGAACTGACTCAACAGCAAGGAGTCTGTTAACGGGCCGGTTGTTTCATTTATTTGCTATTGTGCATAAAGCTGCAATGAACACAGGAGTGCCTATGTTGGTTTGTGTTAGAACTTTTAGGTCTCCAGGGTATATCCCTAGGAGCGGGATTATTAAATCATTCTATTTCTAGTTTTTTGAGGAAGCGCCATACCATTTTCCACAGTGGTTGTACCATTTTATGGTCCCACTACGCATCCTCTCCAACATTTGTTATCTGTTTTTTTTTAATCAGTGCCATTTTAGTCAGGGTGAGATGGTATTTCATTGTAGTTTTGATTTGCGTCTCTCTAATGGCTAATGGGGCCCTGGTGGTGCAGTGGTTAAGCGTTTGGCTGCTAACCAAAAAGGCTGGCAGTTCAATCCACCAGCCGCTCCATGGGGAAACTGTGGGGCAGTTCTACTCTGTCCTATAGGGTCACTATGAGTCAGAATCGACTTGAAGGCAACTTTTTTTTTTTTTAAAATGGCTAATGATCGTGAGCATCTTTTCACGTGTGTTGGCTACTTGTATGTCCTCTTTGGTGAAGGTTCTGGTCATGATCTAGAAGCTTTATATTAAATCAGAAGGTCTGCGTGCTTTCTCTGAGTACTTTGCTTTTCAAACTCTTTATTTTTATTTTTTAATTACAAAAGGAATACATGTTCTGTGTGTAAAATGAAAAAATACAGAGGTATATAAAGAAACAGCAAATCCCACCTCCCTCAGTTGAACCCACCCACGTTGATAATTTGCCGTATTTCCTTTTCTCTGTGCTCATACAAACAAATGTTCATAGAGAGAGAAACTGCCTTTCTTTGTGTTAATGAGCTCATTCTAGAAACATTACTCTACAACTTGCTTTTATTTTCTTCATAACATATATTATGAATACATTGAGAAACAAATGCCTGTGGAGGGATAGGGGCAGGACGGCAGGTTACCAAGCACCCCAGGGATCGGACCAGCAGTGGGGAGGACAGTGTTTGCCAGATGGGGGCCTGAAAGACAGCTGAGCTGAGTCAGGGTTTAATTCACACTGGGCTCTGTTCAAGAGCTGTGCTGCCCAAAACAAGGCAAGAAGGGCACCAAGGCAACTGGAGGACTCAGGGAGGGGAACATGAGGACGCAGTCTTGGGATGAACTCCAGAATTCTTCTACCTGAGAAAGCTCTCTTCTATTGAGCTGCCACTGCCACCCATCACCTACACACACACACACCAGGCCCTTGTCCCATGGCTGCTAACTGTCCCCACGGACTCACTGTAGCCTCCCAGACCCTTGCCTGCACGTCCACAACCCCCGGAGGAGGCAGTGTTGGGCTGGCCCGGACCTCCGGCCCACTCACCCAGGCGCAGCATGGTCTCGTTGATCTTGCTGGCAGCCTTCTCGCTCAGCAGCCCAGGGTGGTTGCTCTTGATGGAGAACAGAGTCATCACTCCTGAACATAGGGAGACCACAGACCTTAGAAGGGGTGTGAGGCCATACGCCTGGGATGGGTGTGTGAGGGGAGGGGTTCCCATGGCCCTGAAGTCCTGGGTCTGGTTACTCCTGTGCTGATTTAAAGCTTGGGGAACCAGAGACACTGGAGAAATGGAGAGCCACCTCGTGGAGATCTGCCATGGACTGGGGTGACTGGAACACAGCCCTGACGGCCAGTCGAGAAGAAATAGGGAGCCTCGGTCCTGGCCCAGCCACCCTAAATAAGGCTTCAAGGTGAAAGCTGTTCTGACAAAAAAAGCATGAAACAGACTCCAGAACAACACTGCCCAGTGGAAATACAACGTGAGCCACACACATCATCTTAAATTTTCTAGTAGCCACGTTAACAAAGTAAAAAGAAACAAGTGAAATGAATCTTAATGTATTTTACAAACCCTATATATCCAAAGTATTATCATTTCAACATGTAATCAATATGACGAATATTAACAAGCTATTTTACAGTCTCTTTTTGGTACTAAGTCTTTGAAAAGCGGTGGGTATTTTACATTTACAAGCACAGCTCAGTGTGGACTAGTTTTATTTCAGGTGCCCAAGAGACCCAAGTGACTGGTGGCCACCGTACAGGACAGCAGAGATACAAAACATACATCAGAGACTCAAACACACCGCCATGAAGAGGGACAAGAGGTGGCTGATCAGAAAGAAGGCCGAGAACGCAGGGTGAGGTTTACAAAAACAAACAAAACCAACACAAACAGTTACGCGGATACCGAGACTTACTGTGGAGGTGGCAGATGGAGACGGGGAAACTAGGGAACAAGCAATCTGTGTGTGAGGTGAAAACTGTGTGTGTTGTGGAGAGCTGAGAAATTGAGCCCCAGAAGACTGGGGAGTATACACAAAACTCATGTGCACACACACACCCCCATACACATGACCAAAGGCCCTGAGCTGGTCCACGTGAACCAGGGAGGTTTCTCTGGGTGGTCTCCACACAAGAGCACCTGGCCAGGGGGTGGCTGGGGCTGGAGCCCACCCAAGCTCCACTCACTGAGCTGCGAGTCCTGGCACAAGGCTCTGGAGAAAGGGACACATTTTTCTGGCCAGCACAAAGGGGCTGGTCCCACACTGAGCTGTCCGCGGTGCTGTGGCCACCTGGAGAGGGTGCCTCCTTCTCATCCGCACCCAGGCCCATATGGGCTGGCTGAAGTCCTAGTTCCTATCTACAGGTACCAGGTGTTCTGTACATTTTTGTTGCCTGATAGGCTTGGGCTGGTCTCCACTCACCTCGGATGAGGAAGTAGCCTCCCACAATGAGCACCAGGCCAATGGGGGCCAGCACAAAGCCAGCGCGGTATCGGTAGTTCTTGTAGCCCACAAAACAGATGCCACTCACGGAGTCCCCGTCCACCTGCAGGAGGAAGAGGGGGAGGCAGAGTTGGTCACAGGCCCTTTACCCAAGCCCATCCTACTCAGGCCCCTAGCCCGTCCCAGTCACTTACCTGGGCCACAGCGAGGATGGCCACAGTGAGCACAAAGGGGAGTGACCACGTGAGCAGGTGGAAGTAGGAGGTCTTGCCTGAGAGAGGCTGGTAGGTGGTGCCCAGGGCTTTGAAGGAGGTATGCCAGGCGTAGGTGAGGACCACAAACCAGACCACGCCAGCCATCAGGGCGTAGTAGACAATGACAAAGATGATGACGCAGGACAGGGTCTCGTTGGAGCTGAGCAGACATGTGGGAAGGTGTCACCTGGGGAGGTCATTCTGGACTCCCGCTACCAGGCCTCCTACCCTGTCCCCAGAGCCTTGGCTTCTAAGGTCTGGAGGTCCCCTAGGAGACAGGACCCAGGTCAGATTCGAAGAGGATACAGAAGATGCCCTTCTGAACAGATGCAAACCACCAAAGTCCTTGCGCTGAAACCGAAACGCTGCGACCCTGGGCACAAGGAGGCAGAGCGGAACTCCTACACTGAAACCTCAGACACAGGTCCACCGCCCCCTTCTGTGTTAAACACACACCGCAGCCCTTCTCACCCACCCTCACCTCTGCGCTCCCAAGACACCTACGTGGGTTCCCCAAGCCTCATGGTACCATCTGCCCGGCAGACTATCTCCCGGCGGGCACCATCCATGAACTGGGCCAGCCAGCCAATGCTGCCCACGAAGAAACACGCATTGACATAGAAGAGAATAACTGCAGGGTAGCGATTCGAATTCCGCCAGTCAGCAACAAACGTAGCCTAGAGAAGAGAAGTGGGGCCTGTTCTGTGGGCTAGGGCTATTCTGCTGCCTCAGATGTCCCAGTCTGACCCAAAAACAACAACAGCAACAAAAAAAAAAAACAGTTGCCAGCTGAATTAATCCTGACTCATGGCAACCCCATGTGTGCAGAGTAGAACTGTGCTCTGTAGGATTTTTCATGGTTGTGATCTTTCAGAAGTAGATCACCAGGCCTTTTTCCCAAGGCCATCTCTGGGAAGATTTAAACCACCAACCTTTCTGTTAGTAGCCCAGCGCTTAACCGTTTGCATCACCCAAGGACTCCCAGACTCCCCTTATCATGACCCTTCCCTGGGAACCCCCACTCAGATCCCACCTCTCTCCCTGACAGCTGGGCTCCCCTCCCATTTTACAGGCCGAGGGTCTCCTGTCCCCTGTGGCCTCTCCCCTGGGCCCTGCCCGCCCGCTATGGCATGCCCTGGCTGACCAGCGTGAAGAGCGTGCAGAGGCCCGTGACAGCGCCGAAGCCGGCGATGTAGCTGTGCATGTCCTGGTGCTCGTCCTCTGTGAAGAGCGGGTTCTGGCACTGGATCCCACAGCCCTCCACATCCTCATACCAGCTCTTGGGGTTGTCCGTCCGAACCAATGGAGCCTCACACTGGCCCGAGCTGTTGAACTTGATGTTCTGCACCTCATTCTGGCATCGGGGAAGGGGAGACAGCACAAGAGGGGGAGTGGGGCTCAGAACGAGAGGTTCTGGAGACAGCCTTCAGGATTTGAGTTCCAGCCTTGCTACTTAGTGGCTGTGTAACCTTGGGCAAACTATTTGACCTCTCTGTACCTCGGTTTGCCCATCTATAAGATAACAGTATCTACTTCATGGTGTTATTTACGGTTAAATGAATATGCAAAATGCTTATAATAGCATTTGGCATGTAGTAAATAATAATCATCATCATTATTTGTGATCTATCCCTTACCACCTAGAACGAGATCACACCCCGTCTTGGTGTCTCTCACTGTTCTACGTGTGTGCCTTGACTCCCAAATACACTATAACCATCTAGAGGACAGACAGGATCCTGTCATCCAGGACTCCTGTAACTCCCCAACACCTAGCTCAAAATATATTTGCTGGACACAAGTCACTTTCTATAAATAAACAGATAATCTCTAGAGACTGACCCAGCCCATGAGCTGCAGTTCGGTTTGTGGCCTGTGGACTCCACAGTCGTGGACCCGGGGCCCCAGGAGATAGGCTCTCGGTGCCCTGGCTCTGCCCCACGCTGGACCCTGCCCCATGCCTGGTACTGTCTGGCCCGCAGCCCAGGCCTCGCCCCCACAGAGCACTCACCGGGCAGCCTTCGGGGAAGTGATCAGGGGTGCAGCGCAGGAAGTCGGGCCAGCCCCGCTCCCTCTCCACGATGGCACAGGGGCCGCGGGTGGCCTGGCAGAGGGTGCGGCTGGGCAGCTCCACCCGGTCATTCTCGCACTTGGGCATGTACACAGCACACAGCAGGGGCTGGATCACCGCCCAGCAGCGAGGGGCGTTCCGGAGGCCTGTGGTGGCAACAGCGTGGACGCACTGGGGTGAAGACCCCTCCTCACTCTGACCACAGACACAGCCCCACCCTGTTCCTCCAGACCCCGGGCAGCTCTCTTTGCCACACCACAGCCCCTTACTGCTCAGAGCTGTCAGGCACAGTGTTTCTCACCAGGGCATGTGGGCAGGCCAATTCTCTGTGCTGCAGGGCTGTCCCACACATTGCAGGACTGTCCCATGTATCACAGGGCTGTCCCACACACTGCAGGACTGTTCCACGCACCCCAGGTCTGTCCTATGTATCGCAGGACTGTTCCACCCATCACAGGACTGTCCCATGCACTGCACGACTGTTCCACCCATTGCAGGACTGTCCTGTGCATCACAGGGCTGTCCTGTGCATTGCAGGAATGTCCTGTGCATTGCTGGGCTGTCCCGTACATCCCAGGACTGTCCTGTGCATCGCAGGAATGTCCTGTGCATTGCAGGGCTGTCCCATGCATCGCAGGAATGTCCTGTGCATTGCAGGGCTGTCCCATGCATCGCAGGAATGTCCTGTGCATCGCAGGGCTGTCACATGCATCCCAGGACTGTCCTGTGCATCGCAGGAATGTCCTGTGCATCGCAGGGCTGTCCCATGCATCCCAGGACTGTCTCATGCATTGCAGGGCTGTCCCAGGCATCACAGGAATGTCCCGTGCATTGCAGGGCGTTTAGCATTCCTAGGTCCTGCCAGTAGAGCCCGTTCAGGAGAGGGCCTGAAGAACTTCTGGGCTGCTGGTAATGTTCTATTTTATGACCTGGTACTGGTTACATGGGTGGGCTCACTCTGTGAAAATCAAACTTATCATCTGTATACTTTTCTATATGCACATTATAACCCAATTAAAGTGTACATCATTCCCAATGCCCGCTAGGGAGGGGCAGCACCTCTGGCTGAGAGCCCCAGGTAGTCTTCCCTTTTCAGGCACTTTCTTAAACCTTCCAGCCCTCTTCTAGGGGGCAGAGGGTGGTGGGCCCCACCCCTCATGGAGTCCATGCACCAGAAGCGGGTTGCCCCACGCCCAGACCCCCAGAACCCTCATTCCTCTTACCAGGCTGAGGTGAGAAAGAGAAGAGATGGGAGCTTAAGAACAGGTAGTCAGAGAAGCCAGGTACTCCAAAGCCAGAGGAGGAAACAGGAAATCAGATGGAGAGAAACAGAGGAGGCTCTGTCCAGCGCAGAGGGAGGAAAGGCGTGGTCAACAAGGCAGAAACAGGCCCAGGCCTCCCAGCACCCCTGCCCCAGCCCAGGCCTCCACCCTGCATGCCCTAGTAGCTGGGCTCACTCTGCATTCTGTAAAACACCCCTGCTCTAAGAACACCCATTTCCCAAGCAGGAAGCTGTATTAGGATAAGCTTCTGAGGAGGTGATTGCCAACATGGGTGACTGTCAGGTGGCCAGGTTAGGGGGAGGTAATATATAAGCATCTGCTCCCGTAAAGACTACAGCCTTGGAAACCCTATGGAGCAGTCCCACCCTGTCCTGTAAGGTTGCTTTGAGTCAGAATCAATTCCAAGGCACACAACAACAACTATATATAAGGAAGGAGCCCTAGTGGTGCAATGGTTAAGCGCTCGGCTGCTAACTGAAAGGTCGGTGGTTCAAACTCACCAGGAGCTCTGCGAGAGACAGACCTGGTGATCTGCTCCTGTTTTAAAGATCAAGCCTAGGAAACCCTATTCGGCAGTGCTACTCTGTCACACGGGGTCGCTATGAATCAAAAATCAACTCATAAACCAGAGACTCCACCAGCCTGAGACCAGAAGAACTAGATGGTGCCTGGCTACTACCAATGATCCCCCTGACAGGGAACACAACAGAGAGTCCTGGACGGAGCAGGAGAAAAGTGTGGAGCGGAACTCAAATTCACATAAAAAGATCAGCCTTAATGGTCTGACACAGACTGGAGGAACCCCTGAAACTATGGCCCCCAGATGCTCCATTAACCCTGAACTAAAAACATTCCCGAAGCCTGCTCTTCAGACAAAGATTAGGCAGGACTATAAAACAAAAAATAATACACGTGAGGAGTGTGCTTCTTAGTTCAATCAGATACACGAGACCAAATGGGCGGCTCCTGTCCGGAGGCAGGATGAGAAGGCATGAAGGGGCATGAACTGGCTGAATGGACACAGGGAACCCAGGGTGGAAAGGAGGAGTGTGCTGTCACATTGTAGGGATTGCAACTAATGTCACAAAACAATATGTGTATAAATTTTTCTATGAGAAATTAACATCAGCTGTAAACTTTCACCAAAAGCACAATATAAATAAATAATGATCAATAAAGTTAAGGGAAAAAAAACCCAACTCTACAGCACCTAGAAACAATATATAAGAAGCATGAGCGCTGCAATTAGCCACCCTGGTGGTGCAGTGGTTTAGAGCTAAGGTTGGCAGTTCGAATCCACCAGTTGCTCCTCGGAAACCCTACGGGGCAGTTCTACTCCGTCCTATAGAGTCACTAGGAGTCAGAAATTGACTCAACAGCAATGGGTTTGGTTTTTTTTTTGGGTCCAAATCTTGGCTCTCCCACTTCATAGATGTATGATATTGGGCAAATTAAAATTACTTCATCTCTATCTCCAGCCTCAGTTTCCTCATCTGTAAAGTGGGGGTGATAGATTTACCTCATGGAACTATTGTAAAGATTGAGATAACACATTAAGTATGCTTAGCAGAGTACCTGTCAGAGTAGGCACTCAGTAAGTGTAAGCAGTTATTACTTGTCAGAGGCCTTCTACAGCTCCCAACTCTCATTCTGACAGACGGAGCAATTCCAGGGGTGGAGAGCAAATTTCTGCGACGCAAGAAGCAATATCCTCAGGCAACGGTTCCCAAGCTGAAATGAGAATCACCTAGGGGAACCTTTATCACTCTAGACGAGGGTCCACCCTCAGAATTTCTGACTGAGCGGGTCAGATGGCTGACAGGGGCTAGGGGGTGGGGTGGGAGGTTTACCTGCAAAAGGGCAGTACAAGGGAATATTTGGGGGTAATGAGACTGTTCTGTATCTTGATCATGGTGGCCATTTACATAACTCTATGCATTTATCAAAACTCATAGAACGCTACTACCAAAACAGTGAACTTTACTGTATGTTTATTAGACAATAAATTTCAAATGGGGGGGGGAGCTCCCTAGAGTAAAATGTATTCTACAGGAGCATCAGGCAATTAATAAAAATATTAATAAAAATATTTTTCTGGATTTTGTGATATTCATGGTAATCATCAGCTTTTTAAAATTTTGTAATTTGTTTTCATTCTTTCTTTTCATTTAAATAAATATTCTATTTCAGGCTCTTTAAAAAAAACTCCCCAAGGAAAAGACAGATTATTAAATAAATCTTAAAGGATGATTAGGGAGGCATCCAGAAAAAAAATAAGTTGGATCCTTACCCCTTCACTACATCAAAATAAGTTCCAGATAGGATCAAAAATAATTATATTATTAATTAAAAAAATAAACATTTAAGTACTAGAAGAGGACACGGGAAATGGTTTTTTAGACCTTGGCATGGAGGAGGCCCTTTGAAATCCAACACAAAACCAAAAAGCTATGAAATAAAAGGCTTAAAGAAAAGACGTCGGAAAAATAGATAAATTCAGCAGAGTAAAAACAAACACAATCATAAAGCAACAAACTGAGAAAATGTATTTCCAATATATATCACAGGAAAAGAGCTAATTTCCTTATATGCACAAAGCTTCTAAGTTCATAAAAAATACCAGCACCCCCGGGAAAAGAAAAAAAAAAACAAACCCATGGTCTTTAAGTCAATTCTGACTCATAACAATCCTATAAGAAATAGACAACCCTAAATGAAAGGTCAGTGGTTCAAACCCACGCAGCAGCTCCACAGGAGAAAGGCTTGGTAATCTCTCTCCATAAAGATTACAGTCTAGAAAATCCTATGGGGCAGTTCTACTCCGTCACATGGGGTCGCTATGAGTCGGAATCGACTGGATGGCACCCAACAACATAGAACAATCAGCAAAAGGCACAAACAGAACAGATTACACCGAAGCAAAAACATAAAGAGACGCTCAACCTCACTTATGATAAAAGAAATATGCAATAAAATTTCAATGAGGTATCATTTTTAACTTTTAGAGCAGTAGAGGTAAAAAATTTGGAAAGACTATACTGACAAGAGTGTGAGGGAAACCGGCACTTTTATAGATGACTGGTAGAATAAAAATGAGTAAACACTTGTGGAGACTATTTGACATTATCTATAAAAATCTAACCTAGCAATTCCACTGCATATGTTCACAAAGATAATATATAAGGTTATTCATTGCAGCATTGTTTGTAATCACAAAAGAGTAGAAACAGTCTGCTTATCCAGCAACAGGAGATCAATTAAATGAGTTATTATACATCATTATAATAGAACTGTATTCAGGGTGGGACTATCTGCACTGAAATGGAATGATCTCCAAGATACACTGTTATCTGTATCCATTGTTAAATGGATACTCAAATGCAGAACAGTTAGCAGAGCATGCTACTGTCTGGAGGGACAAGATTAGGGCACGTCTGTATTTATACATATGCTGGATATCTCTGGTGGCATACTGGTTAAGTGCTACGACTACTAACCAAAAGATCGGCAGTTCAAATCCACCAGGTGTTCGCTGGAAACTCTATGGGGCAGTTCTACTCTGTCCTATAGGGTTGCTATGAGTCAGAATCAACTTGACGGCAACGGGTTTTGGATATCTCTAAAAGGGTATTGATGGTTGCTTCTGGAGAGCGGAAACAGCTGGGGAGTGGAAATGGGTAGCTTCAGAAATGTTAGGTACCTCGTCCTGCGCCATCCTCACAATCATTGCTATGTCTGAGCCCATTGTTGCAGATGTGTCAATCCATCTCGTTGAGGGTCTTCCTCTTTTCTGCTGACCCTCTACTTTACCAAGCATGATGTCCTTCTCCAGGGACTGGTCCTTCCTGACAACATGGCCTAAG